AATTATCTGTGACCTCATTGCGGCCAGATGCCCAGCTCAGAGCGGCCCCGGGCCCAGGCCTGCAGCCCCAGCCTCTGATTTTCAGAATTATCTCCCCCTTGGACCTGAAGGGTCCCGGCATCTCCCCCACCCAGGTTATTGCCCCGACAGCCCAGGCTGCAGCGCTGGGGGTTCTGGACCAGGACCCCCTGGGGGGCACGTGGGAAGCTGGGTGAGGCTATCCCCTTAGGAGCCTGACTGACAGCCAGGTCCAGTGCTGGTGCCATCTGGCGCCCATCTGGCTGCATCAAGAGATCGGAGGGCATGGAGTGGGCACAGGCCTCCTGGCAGACAGCAGCTCCCTTTACGGGACCCTGACTAGGCCTGAGTCAGCATCTCCTACCCCTTCAGAATTCTGGGCTTTGCTGCCACCATTGGCACTGGGGTCGCTGTCCCATTCAGGACGCGGTGAGAGGGACCCCATGGGGTACATCCCAACATCTCCCCTCCCCTAGCACAGTGCTGGCTCCTGGCTTCTCTGGATGGACCCGACACCTAGGACCAGGCTCGGAGGAAGCAGATCCGCCAGGCCATCCCTTCCTGGGCCTGGCCCAGGTCCCACTGAGCCCCTCAGATGTGCCTCTCCCTGCCTGTCTCCCTCAGTCACTTGTCACTCTCAGCCCTCCCTGCCAGCAGATGCCTCCTGCCTTGTGGGGTTCTGAGCGTCTCATCGGGCAGGGCCTCATCCGTGTCCCTCCAGGCGCGTCAGCCACACACCCGGGGCTGGCCTGCCACTGCCCCCCATCCCACACCTCCTCCCCTCAGCGGGTCGTCCCCGACCCCCGCAGCACCCGTGTCTGGAGGAAGGGTGGCAGACGCACTACTGGGCCTGGTTCCTACACCCACCGCCCTGTGGGCGCTCCAGGCCTGCACACAGGGCTCTTCCCAGACCCCCAGTAGGACCAGCGCTGACTCCACGGCTCTCCCTCTGCAGTCGCTGCTGTTCCTGGGGCTGGTGGCCGCCGTCTGCCTGGGCCTGAACCTCCTCTTCCTCGCGGCTTACCTGGTGTGCGCGTGCTGCTGCCGACAGGCCAAGCCGCGCCAGTCCTGCTGCGTCACCTGGTCGGCCGTGGTGGCCGGGCTCGTCTGCTGGTGAGTGACCCTCCGCACTGGCCTCGTGTGTGCGGCCCGGGGCTCAGTGTGCAAGAGGGCGAGGGGCCGCGGTAGATGGAAAGGGGGCCTGCCCACCGCGTCTTGCCCATGGTTGGCCCATGACTGTGACACCCCTTCCTCACTCTCCACCATCAGCCCCCCCAACAAACCCCAAGAGGTGGGTTCAACAGCTTTCTGGCCACGTCCTCCTGATGGAGCTCTGGGCACCTCATGGGGAGCCTGTCCCTGGGTGAGCGTTGTCCCTTTTCCTGCCAGGCAGCGGGAATCCGATGCCCGCAGAGGTGATGGGGCCTCCGGCGTGCCGCTCCCCTGCCCGGCTGTGACCTGCCCGGCAGTTTATTGGGTGGCACACACGAGCAGAGGGCATCTGCTCTCTGAGTCCCTGTCCCCTCCCAGCCGCTGCCTTGAGTCTGAGGTTAGAGAAAGTCTGACTCCAGCCCAGATCAGTCCATCTTCTCGCGGGATCAGTAGCTCTTAGTGCGTTACTGACGCTCCTTTCGGATGCAGAAGTGAGGGTTTCTAACTTCAGGCTGGAGCCCGGGCTCTGTCTACGTGCTCCCCGGTGTGGCTGGTTGCGTTACTCTTGTTTTCAATCTCCAGGGGTTTTTCCAAAAGCCTCAGGTCTACCCTGAGACCTCCTGGGTGGCCACCCTCAGGGGATAGAGTCCCGTAATGCTTAGTGCCCACTGCATCCCAGAACCCATAGCGGAGTGATTCCGGCAGGAGGGAATGCAGACAGGACACCGTGAGCCTGGGAGTGAGGATGTGGGTTCTCACCCCAGGAGCCTCACCTGTTAGGGCACTTTCAGTGTCCAGTCCTGCCTGCAGCGACGCAGGGGTGACAAAGCACTGAGCACATGGGTGGGGCCTGGGCGGGGGACACAGGCAGCCAGGGCCCAAGTCCTAGGCGTAAAGGAGAGTCCAAGCCCAGGTCAGGAGTTTACAGGCGCCTGGGGGTCCCCGCAGAGAGGAGCCCCTTCAAAGTAACCATGGCTTCGGCAAGCTGCTCCTGGGACTGAGCCCACAAACGTGAGGGACGTCAGACAGACAGACAGACAGACAGACAGACAGACAAAGGAAGTGCTGACGCATGGGAGGCCCTGACTTTTTAAAAACACGACAAAGGACAGAAGAACACTATGGAACAGTAAGAATGACTCCGGAGGGTCAGATCTCATAACCTGCCGTGGAAGGGAAACTACGCAGGAGTGTGCAGTGTGTTGGCGTGTTCTACACGGTATTTGTGGCAGGCAAGAGGGAGCCAGTGGTGGGAAAGATGGCACTTACCGGGAAGGGCCCAGCCCAGCCCACACTGACACATGGGCACACGGCGGACACCCTGACCTGCACTTTTTAAAAATATATATATGTTTGTTGATTTGAGAGAGGGAGAGAGAGATAGAAACATCAATGATGAGAGAATCATTGACTGGCTGCCTCCTACACCCCACCGCACTGGGAGCCCACAACCCAGGCATGTGCCGTTGTCTAGATTCGAACCTGGGACCCTTCAGTCCCTAGGCCAGCTCTCTATCCACTGAGCCAAACCGGCCAGGGCCTGACCTGCCCTTTCAATGGGAACACTGAGCTAGGGTCAAGGCACCTGGAAGGTTCCTGTCACAGTCTCCCAGGGTCCGTCCTAGCTCCTGTCGTGTTTGAAGAAGGAAGAAACATCACGCACGTATGCATGTGTGTGTTCGTCACCCCGCCCCCAGGATCACTGTTTTGAATGAAAACTCAGGAGGCTGCTTAATGAGGCTGCTCACGGCCCCCAGGGGTGTGGGTGAGAAAAATGCCGTCGGTGACAGAGGCGCGATCTGAGATGATTTGTTCCGCCTGGAACGCTGGACCAAAACCAACCACATGAAATTTCACAGAGATAGAGTCAAAGCTCTACTATTGGTTAAAACAAAACAAACACCCATTCAGCTCTGCGGAAGGAGGGGGGCTGGGCTTCCGGGCAGATCCTGGGGAGAAGTCCGGGTGCTTGTGGAGCGCCAGGTCAGCGGTGCGGAGAGGGGATCTCAGGACATGAGCGTCCCCTCTGCCTGCCCCGCGCCCCGTGCTCAGAGCTGGGTGGACAGTCTGGGCACCTCACTCAGGCCATGTTTGGGGGCAACACTGACCAGTTAGAGTGGAGCCTAGGGGACGGTGAGGATGTAGACAAGGGTCTGCAGGACACGGGGCCAGCCTTAGGTGTCTGACGGGGTGTCTGCAGGATTGGAGGCTTATTCCGGGCCGACCTAGAGGACCCCGCGAACCAGCGGGGGCCTGGTTCAAGGAGGTGGGTGGGCTTGGGCTCAGGATAAGGAGGGACTTTCTACAGCTGGAGTCACAGGGCCAGAGCTGGAGGGTTTTCCTGCTGCCTCACTGCCCTGTGCTGGGGAGCGAGGCCACCAGGCCAGGGCCAGGCGGGCCCTGAACCCACCCCGGAGAGAGTGCCTCAGCTAAAGTCAAAACCCACTTCTCTCCCTGGAGAGGCCAGCTCTGTTCATAACCATCAGACCTGGAACAACTAAGACTTCCTTCAGGAGGTGATGGGTAGATAAGCTGTGGTCCATCCAGACCATGGAATAGTACTCAGCGCCGATAGGACATGAGCCACCCGGCCAGCGTGGCTCAGTGGTTGAGTGTCGACCGATGAACCAGGAAGTCACCGTTCCATTCCCAGTCAGCACGTGGGTTGTGGGCTGGATCCCCAGTGTGGGGCGTGCAGGAGGCAGCTGGTCAATGATTCTCATCATTGATGTGTCTACCTCCCTCTCACTTCCTCTCTTAAATCAATAA